GATGACGTCTGAGCTCGGCGTTTAACTCGCTGTAAGCCGCTATTCTGGACTAGTTGCTGAGTACGTTCACGTCTTGCATAAAGATCCCGTATGAACACCTCAGGGGTAAACGGTTCCGCGGTCGGCTTACAAGATGTATTGGAAACAGCAACTTCTACAATAATGTAGTCAGGTTGGAGATAACATAAAAAAGACAACAGTGTAGAAAAGAGTTTACCGCCATGGAGGTAGTGATCCAAACAATAATCTATAACGACCTCAGGCATATCACGCCGGATAATAAGCTGAACATGTATAAGTGGATGAGTGTGAGAGAAGATGAGAAAAAACCAAGCTCAACATGATTCCAGACAAAAACTGCAGAAAATTTCGTAACATAACGAAGATGTTAGATATTACTAAAGACAACTTCCTTACCCTCCAATCATGCACTCGGATAAAAGCAGTACAGTGCATGTAAACAAGAGACGATCGACCGTGATTGGACTTAAAGTGGCGATCGTCGTTCTGACAAAGGTAATACATGTGCTCATCATGAATGCCCATTTTTTTGAGGCGATACTTGCTGTGACATTGCAGCTCGCGAATCCATTGCTACAAAACTAGGTTAGCGTAAAATAAACAGTTATATGAATTTGAATACCTCGAATAGTCCGGGTTCCTCAAATATGAAACGATTAGTCACCGAAGTCTTTCTGTTGTGATCAAAAAACATGTGCTCAAGAAGTTGGTCTTGAGATGGAAGCTCGGATGTACTTCGAAATTCAGCCGAACAGCTCATACAAAGTGACTAAAAAGGAGGAGTATAATGGATATCAGCTAGATAAAAAAAGTGAAAGTAGTCATTCCACAAACCGGAGGAAAAGGCTTCGTCCTCTTGAACGTGGCTGTATCACCACCAAGAGAATAAAAAAATACTGAATTTATATCTGATTCACGTGCTTCCAAAGCAAAACGCTTGCGGTAGATCTGAAACTGTAACTAGCTTCAAAAACTTATTTACGTACTGAACTTACAAGATCTGCACGATGGTCCTCTAAATTTGACTTGAGAACATTGAATGGAGGAAAATGATCGATAATATCGCTATGTTCGACCATAACTTTGTCTACTATAAATGAGATATTATAAATGCGTTAGGACCACGCTGTCTAAAAAGTTAAAAATTGGTAAAAAAAA